GATAAATAGCGATAAAAATAATTATTATTCGTACTAGACAAGATATATTTTTATTCTCTTTGCCTGACATTAGTGTGCCACATACGCTGATTCTTCACATCTGGGGAATCACCGAAGATACTCGATGATTTGGCTACATCGCCTAGGCCTAGCGGCTCGTGACAAGTCCATGCTTGTACGGTATGATTTCGTGTACTTAGTAATTCCGAATTCGGCCAGTATTAGTATTGTCTGTCTTGCAGTCATTTTTTTCGCGTGTGTGCGCCCAACATTATAAGGAAGACTGGGAAGAATTGCCAGATTTCCAAGGCTGGCTAAAAAAGCAATAAAGGGCGCGATTATGCGAAATGCAAGGTCTGTGATAAAGATATTAATATCAAAAGTGGAAGAGATGCACTTATAAAACACGCAAATGGGCATTTTCATAAAAAGTGCAAACCATAGCAAAACAGCCAAAACTGTTGTAATTTGCAGTTGCAGGTGCATCAAAGAAATTAGAAGATGATATTAAAGAAGGTAAAATTAATTAATCTATTTGAGATTATATAGATTATTTTATTATTTCCAGGAGAAATTCGTTTGAGCGAGCGCATTTTTGGCCGAGCATAATTTACCATTCTTGCTGATGGACCATTTGACAAAGCAAAATTAGTAGATGATATATGACTGATAAAAACTTATACAAAAATCAAGAATGATCATCCAATATAGCTTACACATTTTTTATTTTCTACACTTTTTCTGTTTTTGATTAGGAATATTTTATTTTTAGTTAGCTAAAGTGAGATATAAACTATTTATTTTTGTTTTGCCTTTCTGTTTTAGAGTATATTTTGAGATAAATAAAATTGTCATTTACTGTTCGGTATTCAATCTACCCAAAAATTCCTTACAACTCTACCGAAATATCGTCGACTCCACCTGACAACACTGGCCTGGTGGCTCTTCTATCCCGTTTGCGCCCGCCTCGTCCGTAACGATCCACAGATCCAGGAAGGTGTGCCGCAGGACAGCATGAATCTGGAATGCCTCGTTGCCGTTGTTTCTGTCTTCTATCAACGCCCCTTCTCGTTTTATCACTCTGTCTAATATTTCTATTGATAAATAAAATAAAAAAATCACCTTTTTAAAACAAGCTCTTCATAAAATGAACTAAAAATTTATAACTATTTTTTTCGGTTGAAATGACGACCCTTTCTCCCAGCTTTTCAAATAACAGCGTGTTACACACTTCTGTATAATGTAAAACGTTTTTATTGAAGGAGCTTCATTATCGTTTAAATACTTTCAATCGGAAAATTAATTTTCACTTTCTAGCTCATTTTATGAACAGCTAAATAAAAGCATATTTTTTTACTTTTTAGTATTCATAAACCCGAATAACTAGTTTGGTAATTTCTATAGAACTTTCATGTGTTATAAATAGGACTCCAATACAACGTTTTACTTTATCTGTATTATAAAATTTCGACACAGTTAAATCACATAATGCGATAATCGACATTTTACAACGATCGCATCAAGTTCCTTCATTCCATAGGAAATTATAAATCGGCATTCATCGGCGGCCGCCATATTCGAACCAGGAGCACGTCACTTTGCTTATTATGTTTCCCTTTTCAAGCCTTTCCATCATAAATCGCCATTTTGCGCTGGCCACCGTATTGTATCTGGAATGACATCGGGCTGATTGTTATGTTTCTCGCATAAAACCATTTAATTTCGTATAGAGTGACTATGATGATTGTAAATTGGCGGTGGTCATATTGGAGTTTGACTGACGTCACTTTGCTTATTGCGTTTCTCTCATCAAGCCATCTTATTTCATACTCATAGAGGTTAGTATGGAAACGATGAATCACCATTTTGTAGCATCCGCCATATTGGATTCAAATACAAATTGCACTTAAAAAGTGATTCATGTTCTGTTTGTTGCTCAATAGTAATTTGAAAAGTGTATAAAGTTTGGCTGATTTTGTTCGGGGTTGGTGTTGCAGCGAAGCACTAAGTTTGCACCAATTACTTGATTTGTTTAATGGGCAGTTCAGAGTCTTAATCCTTAAGGTTATCACATATAGGCAGTCTGGAGACGGTATCAAGACACGATCTATAGATGGCCTATAGACATCCTACTTTGTCTCGTCTAGCATCGATACGATAATGTGATTTTTTCGGTCTCATGTTCGTTTTCGCCATCAAAGACATTGTTTTGTGTGGAAATATGTCTCGAGGTCCCTCAGAATGTTTAATTTTTTTTTTTTCGGTTAACACAGCAATCAAGTTTTTTATTTTTTAATCTTTAATATTATTCACTAGTTAATTATTCATAAATGCCACGTACTTGTTTTGTTCTCATAAAATAACATTGCTTTTCTGAGCGTTTTCCATGTTTTTTTTTTTTTAAGCTGGCATTGATCAGATAGAACACAGTGGATTTAAGGAGCAATAATAGGATAAATTCTAGAACTTCCACTGAGGTTGAAAAATGACCATCCGCAAATATCTTTTGCCCCCCTCTAAATCCACCCTTGGGACAACCTCGTATAATCCGCGTCTTTCTGTAGGAAACATGGCAACGTGGCCGATGTTCGCCAGCATTGCGTCGCGGCGACAGCCTCAGTCGATTCGGGCGCGGGCACCCAACAAAAAGGACACACCTGTTCACCGTTCACCGTTCTTCGCTCGTTTGCCCACTAAAAGAAACTTTATGCAGCTATTTATGCACCCCAGCGCACTACCGTTTCCTTTTCTGGCTGTTGGTGCGACGCTGCTCATTCGCTGTCTCATAGATTATTATTGTTTAAATACTCGCTCGTGATTTTCCGATTTATTCGAATCAATATACATTTTTTTAAAGTGCAGTGGTTTGTATTGTTGAATGCTTTGTTATTTATATTAGTCTTGTTTCTATAACTTTTGAAACTTATCTACGCTTTTGGCTTGAGCTGTGCTTGATATCACGGAGGAGGTGTGGCCTTTTGTTTTGTTCAAATTCTCACACCACATCTGCTACTATCTTGCATCAGCGAAAAAATTACTGTTATTATATAATTAGAGTTAGATGTCGTGATTTTTAAATTTATTAGTAATTTTCATGATACAAGTTGATACGTCCTATTTTTCAAACAGATGATTAGGTCATCTTTTGGGAGTTTAACAAAACGAGCAAAAAACTTCGTTAGTTTCTTGTTATTCAACGCAGATTCCACTCCGCATATTTTCTAATTGCACATATCGTGTTGCTCGCATTGTGCTTGGAGGTTTTTTTTTTTAGAAAAACGAGTTCTGCCGGAATTCACAATTTTTGAATCCTTCAAATAAACTATTAACTACGTCTTAAAATATATCAACAAAGGTTGACGTCGTTCTGAATTTTGTCTCCACTAAGAGCCGTTTTACACACAAGAGAATTACTCCGAAAATTATGGTCATAATTATGCCGAAAATGTTTGCTGTCGTATTACACGTAAAAGAATTCTTGTGAAAATTTTCATGGTAAAAATATAAAACCCGTTCTATAGAATATGCGCGATAATCGGCGCAGAGGGTTATTTCCGTGCATGTCATTATCAAATGTCAACGTCAACAACATAACCTCACTTATCATTTGTGGGCGTGGTCCTGTTCGTGTCGTACGAAGAAGCGTTCATTGTTATGGTTTATTCACAATGTCGTGTAATCGGGAAGAAGTTACACTGTTGTTGCAGTACCAAAAATGGCCAAACCTGTACAAGGCGAAGTCACCAAATTACAAAAACAGAAATCTGCGACGTCTGTTGTCTTTCCGATTCTATTGGACGTCATACCCGTTAAGGTTATGTCCATTCGAAAATATTACTCTAATGCGCAGGCGTATCATATGAATTACTCCGAAATTTTGTTTGCTTGTGTCATACAGGTTTTACAGAAAATCTTCAATATTTTTTCCATGCAGATTTTCGGCATAATTATGACCATAATTTTCGGAGTAATTCTCTTGTGTGTAAAACGGCTTTTAGGAAATATTCGATTGCGTTCAGAAATAGGTATATAAAATTTGCAATGTAGCAACAACACATTTTGCGTTCAAGTATATAGTATTCGCTTGAATGTGAAACAATGAAATGTAAATAGAAATAAAAATATCGAGTTATCAAGTAGACATGATTGTGTAACTTTAACCAAACATTTTTTTGAAGGCGCCCCCCTTAGGGAATAAGAGAATTTTGAAAGAAGAAATAGCACAGTTGCAATTATCGATATCAGTTGATATCGTAGATGAACGTGTTGGGCGGTGTGAATTTGTTAGTAAAGACGGTTGGTGCGGGAAGTTCAGCTAGTATTGGGGGTGCCCGTAAAACCAGAAGACGGCGTTGCGAGAAACGGTCATTGGATCAACTGGATCTGCTTCCCGACGGTTGGGCAGACTGTTCACCTCTGCCCCCCATCACGCCGCCCGCTGCTTTTAAGGAGGGCAGACAACACTATCGCGACCTACTTGACGCGCATCATGGTAATTCTCAGGCAGACGTCAGTCGTTTTGATAAGTTTTAAGTCCCCATTCACTATATTTATTATTGAGAATAACGCGAACTGCGAATGAACTTGGACTGCTACCAAAACCGTTAAGTGACGTCCGCTCATTCATAAATGCTATGTTACACATGATCGGTATGCCTGTTGAAATAAACACAGAATTTCGATAAACTCACGATTATAAATAAACTTCACGTACAACGTTATATTATACATACAGATCAAATGTATTTATATGTACTCTCTATATTTGTTAGAGTTGTTTTTTTTTAATCATGGTGTTTGAATATTTGGATGATTATTCAGCATTCTCTAATGCGTCACGTACTTTGAATAATAATTTATTCGGGTTCAAAATAACCGTTTTAAATTCTCGCGTTTTATTATTAAGTTTGTACGTAGGCAATCAGAAAAACGAAATTTATTTTCGTATGGTGATATTATTTGAAATGGCTAATGAGTAATACGAGGTTTTTGAATTGCAGAGCCGAAGAAAGATAAGACTGACGGATCATCGCAAAATGGCGGCGGAGGTGGAGCGCTATCTCCGAACAGGGAAACGACGCAAGGCATTGAAAATTCCGCGATGGTCGCCACAATCGGAAAACCAGAAAGGCCGAGTTCCTTGGGACACGGACACGGCAAACTCACAAGGAGATTGCTATGTTACCATAGCGAACATTGTAAGTTCTCAATTTTGTACAATACCAGATACACCGTTTTTTGTGTATTAGTGGCTTTTTTGCTTCCCGCACCTACTGGCGAGGAAGTATCGTAATTGCGAGGAATATGGAAAATGAGATATTACATACATTATGTACATGATGAAAAACGATGATACTCAGAGGCTGTGCAAGAACGCGTCGCAATTGTTAAAATCTATTATAAAAATTCGTGTTCTATTCGTCAAACTTGCAGAAATTTATGAAAAGACTTGGGCAGATGTCCATATAAGATCCAGTTGACGCAAGAACTGAAGCGCCAAGACCAACAAGCGCGTCGTACTTTCGCTGATCGGGCTCTGGAACACTTGGGAGTGGATCCAAATTTCGGCAAAAAACGACTTGATGAAGCTAGGGTCCGGAACAGATTCATATTTTTCATATTTCTTAATATTTTTTTTAAGTTACATAAAACTTCATATTTTTAGAAAAATCTTTAAATTTTTCATTTTTTTCCCAATGAAGGAATTTTACGTTGCTCCGGCCGATTTTTTGGCTGTGTTAGCAACATTTTTTTCAGGAAGTGGTCATCATTGTAAACCTTGTTTACATAGGGTTTATAATGATGACTACACGGTTTAAAATTACATATTTTAGTGTTGTATTTTTACTCCCATGTAACAGAAAAATCAAGTTTAGTAACCATAAATCGGAAAAATTTTAATTTAGAAATTATTTTTGGTTGCTATCAAATAGGTACTTGGTTTAGCTATTACATGGAAAAATATGACTGATTTTAGTAGAATGGTGACAAAATGTCTAAATTTCAAGAAGAATGGTTGACAAAGAAAGACAGCAATAACTATTTGATTTTACATTGGGCCATAAAGCACAGTGAAAATGAACTTTTTTGCAATGTTTGTCTTGAAGTGGTTCACATTTCCAGAAGATTTTTTAGCATACAGCAACATATGAAAAACATAAAAAATTGTTTTGCAAAGAAAGCTTGTCATCAAGTAGGTGCTTAATGGCTATATGCAAGAGGTTTATAGGAAAAAACACCCAGTATCGCATATCAATTGAAGAAAATAATATAAAAATGAATAAAAAATCAACAATAGTAATTAAAACATGAGTTTTATTCAAAAATCCAACATTTCTTTAAATTTGGACTGAATTATATGTAATTTCTTAATATTCAATAAGCTGGTGATGCGATGCGATGTGATTATGATGGACTTTCTCATGCTGCAAATATTAAGGATTCAGCAGTTGATTAAACAAGTTATTTGGACAACTATCGTTATTGACTGTGGACGCAGTGTGGACATTGATCATTAGAGTCATAATTTTTAAAACTTAATTCTGATTATATAATTTTTATTCGGTCTATAATACCTGAAGGGTGATTATTTTTCAAAGAAGTAATACTGTAATACGTCTTCTTTAAGTTAAATAAAAACTATATTCTTGTCTTATGGTCTACGTTATTTTTTACCGCTTATAAACTTGAAACCCAATTATCTCAAAACAAAAAAGAATGGTCATTCACCGTTATTGCAGTGGACCCTTCACTTAATGAAAAACCCTTTATATTAATACGCTCCCAACGTCCGTAACTATAGGCGCCTATTAGACACATTTCACACATCATAGAATTGTCAATTGCTATAGATGGACAGATACAAATAACATATAGTAATTGTAATTTTGAATTTCTTCAAGTACGAACTAAGTGAGGAAAATAATGTTCAGAAAGTAGAGTACTCGAAATTGTTAATTGTTTTGATTGTTTTAGTTAGCGGCATGGATCAGCACCAGCAAGAGGGGCAGCAGCAGCAGCAGCATCATCCAATGGGCGGCGTATGCGTTCCGCCCCCTTTGCCGCCGCCTTCTCAAACGTCAACAGGACAAGGGGGCGGCGTCGGCCCAGCCAATAGCCTCATGCTGAGCGAACTGCCCGAACCGCCCATTCCCGTATCAGAAATCGGTCCGATTCCTCCGCCGCCCATGTTCAGCTCGCCCAGTCCGGTGCCCCCTCCCTCGCAGACGACCGCCCATCAACTGCCCGCAGGAGGCGCCGCCCCAGGAAGGATGTCACCACCGCCACCACCACCACCCAACAACAATGCCGCATCCGGCGATTACGATTACGAAGGTACCACGATCACACTTTTCAATACAAATCCTTGAACGCTGTTGGTAACGTTTTTGTACGCTGTTTTCGTTTTGTCGCTGATTGGATTTTTGTGATGCTTTAATGATGCTATTAATGAATTTTTTACATATCTATCTATATGTCATTAGGATATTAAATAATAGTGGAAATAATGACGTGTTTTAAAGGATGCAATTGATGTGATTGAATATTCGTTATATTGTCTTCAAGACTACATATTTTTATACAAAATTTTACTACTATGAATTCTGGTTTTCCATGAGATATTTTTTCAATTTCCCTTTGAACATTTTCAAACTGACACATCTTGATATCATTACCTACATAATTTATTAAATTCGTACAATCCCTTTTGATACACTGACTTGCTCGTTATATTGCTACTGTAGTTTTGAAAATGAAAGTCTATACTTCCTCTAGTAGAATAATTGTGCCATTCAGTGTTCAATACAATAAAATTTTCTAAGTGATTTGCTAGAAGATGATTTTTTAACTGGAGCATAAAAGCATAAAATTTATTCTAGTATATTTATTTTTATTTCAGATGATTCTCATAGCTTTATTTTGTAATTTTGAAAATACAGTTTCACTTGCAGTGAACAAAATAGTCGAACAATATAACAAATGAAGAATGATAGTGTTGTACACAATTTTTTTTAGAATAAACGCGAAATTCTATAAAAGTAATTTATTTTCTTCGCCATTTTTGGGATAATATATTCATAGTGCCCTTCAAATTTTAATTTACTGTCTACGTATATGCCCAAATATTTAAATGATTCGAATGACACAATTTTTTCTTGATTAATTGTAAGATTTATCGTATTTTGATCTAAAGATTTCCTATTAACATATATTTTGTTTTGTTAGTGTTCAGTTTGTTTATTTACATTTATTACGTTTTTCATATAATTATTTAACAGCTCTATTGCAGTTTCAATGACTATTTGATATATATATATATATATATATATATATATATATATATATATATATTAATCTATTATCAGCAAATAGTTGAATTTTGTAGTGTTGTAAAATATCAGGAATATCATTAATATATAAAATAAATAGTAATGGACCTAATTTGCTACCATGTGGCCCACATACCGAAATGTTTTTAATATTTGATAATGCCTTCTTATTGATTAAATAATTTTGTAATAAGTTGAATACTGAACCTTGAAATCCATAGCAATGCAATTTCGTTAACAATTTCTCCGTGTCAATAGTCTCAAATGCTCTCTTGAAATCTAAGAACAATGTTACTGTAAACTTTTTTTCATCCGTATTTCGCCTCCATTCTTCTACTACCATTTGAATTGCTGTTTCAGTAGAATACTTTTTTCCGAATCCTGCCTGAAATTTTGTCAATATCTTATTTTCTTCAATATATGCAATGGACTTGTTCATATATGATTCCATCTAAGACCTTCTTGACATCTGGCAGTACATTAATTGTGAATGTTGATAATTTAGAAAACGACGAGGAGGATGACGATGAGGATCCGTCGGACACGTCCGACTTTTGCGAACATCACCTGCACCATCATCACCAACAGGCGGGAGGTGATGAATCACCGTACGGCACCTGCTTTCGAATGACGCAGCCCGATCCGGCGATAGACACAACCAGGATCGACGAGATACCCGCCAAGGTACTAAGTGTACATTTTTACTTGCTACACCATTTGACGATACACCCTTTACAACCCACCTACAACCACAGTTTTTTTCCTATAACAAAATGGCGTCAAGTCTGCTCTTCCTACGCATCGCCGTTATCGGTTCAGCACAAACTAGACCCAGAGGTGTTTACAATTAGTCGATAGACATTTTTTCCCTGCATCTGAAAACATCGCCTTAATCCGGTCAGACGTGGCAGCGCGGTCAGTGTATAGAGTATAACACCATACCAGACCGACAGAGCACTGACCAAGGCCGGGACCAGCATCCCCGGCCGGTAAGTACGCGATCCGTCTGCCGAGAATAAGTACGCAGAAATCTATGATGTGTGAAATATGTCTGGTAGCTGCGTAGAATTACCAAGATTGGGAACGTATAAACGTACTAATATCAAAAAATTGAGACAAACCCTCCCCATAGCCCTACAACCACCACCCTCAAGTTTATATACCTCTAAAAAAAATGTTGGAAAATTATCAGGGTCCTCTGAAACGCCACAAAAAGAAGTTTTGAACGATTTTCATGCTTTCTCATTTCTGCTCTTTTTCTCTACCGCCACTGTACCGGTTTTAAAAAAACAACAAAGCTACTATTGGAATAGTAGTAATATTATAAATTTCATCGAAATCCGAGCGGCACGGTTATCATTTAACTTGAAAAGTGACATTATGCCGATTTTTCTTGACATTATGCTATTTTTTTTTGACATTATGTAGGTTTTTCTATAAGATATTAACTTAGCACTTAGTTGTGCGTATTGAATAAACCTCATGAGGCTTGTTATCAATCTTTGGCACTGATGTGATGTAAAATCTGGCATTACTGGAGGTCTAAGCTGTACGTTGTATGTGTTGATGATGGTACTGACATTGGGTTCTTGTCTCAAATACACTTAATTGAGATTCAAAGCTAGTTGCGCATACACTGTTTCTTATCCATTCTGGAAATTACATATACAGTTTGCTGGTTTTAAAAAATGAGAGAGATAAGAAATAATTATATTCACTGTGCACTGTCGAATTACAAGCCATATACATGCTAACAGTAATTACACACAACGCGGGCGCGATGATGATTTTCCGTAATTCTCCTCGTAATTTATAACTTTGAACATAACCTCTTTTCAGAAAGCACAATATAAAAATAACTCGTCGGGACAGCCAATAGATATACTTCATTGGCAACATATTTAGTAATGATTTTCTTTACACAGCAAATATCTCTGATTTTATAGACTAATACACATAATCACTCAGATGCGAACTTACTATTCAACCAACTTTCTTCTCAGAGATAAAACTACAGACAAGGCCCATTTGGCCTCACAAAACATATGCAACCAATCATGCGTGTACTTTAGTTGAGCGATTCCTCCTTAGATGAACGTTCACAACGATCCTAGGTAGCAAACGTGGAATGACTGTTTGCGCCCTAAAAACTACCTATTTTGCAAGATGACATATTATAGGTTTTTTTTGTTTGACATTTTATAGGTTTTTTACGTGATACCCTTGCGGTACTTCGCGAGTTGTAGGCGGTTACAAAATTAGCGGGAAGACCGACCGACAGAAATGAATAACATAGTTTTTCGTGAGGTTCAATACTTCCTCGCCAGTAACCGTGGGAAATAAAATAAAAACTATTACTAATATTGCTGAACGATTCATTTTAACACATAGAACTTGATCTAATTCTAGCTAACATAAATTATACACGATGAATTCGATTCGATTATACGTCATAATAAAAAAATTACATTAATTTATTTATTGTTTATGATATAAGGAACCGAAATTCGGCGCGGTGCCATTGAAATCGGCGTTGAAGAAAAAGGGCGGTGTGGGCAGCGGTCCGGGAACGCCGACGCAGGAGCACGCCGCATCGACTGCCACTGGGGGACCAGGAGGAGCCAGGAACAACATGCTCACAGCTGCCAACGCTAGACAACACGAATTTAATTCCAGTTTCAAGTGAGTACAAATTTTAAATATTACTACGCCTCTTGCGATTTTTATAATAATATTCCTTAAGAGGTATGCTCCTTTAACATTACGTTATTTTGTATTACACATAAAAAGATAAGATTTATTCAAAACTATGCAGGTATTTGTTTGTTTAAGATTTATTTAGTATGATTGCTACAATTACATTCTTCTAAAAATTTAAACAATTGCATAACATATTGACATTCAGAAAACAAATAAAATTACTAATGAAAACATCGTCAATTGGAGTCATGCGTCTCAGGAAACAACAATAACAATTTTAGTACTTATTCATAATATAGCAAAACTATCTGTGCTTTGCAAACAAATACAACCTTGCAAACGGCATCATTTACACGGTTTTGATATATTTTTTTACATAGGTATTGTAAAAATATAAATACTATTTCATACAAATGTTGTACCTTGTTAGTAATTTGACATTCATGCAGGATGTATACAGTTTAATTGATTTTTCGTCCCTTGATGGTAAAACATAAAATTTAAAATATTTCTAATTTATTTACTTTTTGTCTCACACAGAAGGCCACATCTGAGGCCTAGGATAAGAATATGGTAAATATGTTTGGTGTTTATCCTTTCATGATTCCATGATGTGCATACATTTTATTTTTTAACGATTCTTTTGTTTCGTGTTATGTGTATTTTTATTACCTTTTATATGCATACATTATTTTGTTGTCTTCTTCAAGTTCCGCAACAACAAAATATTGATTGTCATAAGCAGTACTGCACCCATTGTAGACCTTAATGTTCGTTCCTACATTTTTCCCATACATACATGGATGTTTCTTTCAAGGTTCTTATAAACAGCACACAATACTGCAGTCATCGTTTTTCTTTGCGTTTTCGCTACCGCCTTAATGTTATATTTTTGGCTAATTTACAACTGTATTTACGTAATATTATGCAAATCAATTCCGATAATACTTCAGTGTGGAAGTTAATAACGAACAAAATTCATGTTTGACAAATAAGTATGTGTGTATACAGGGTAGTCCAACCGAGGACAGAGTATTGCTCCTAAACAAAAACTATTCAAAGAAAACTATCTAATCATATTAGCAAATTTTAAGTTTAGAACATGAACGCATAAAATGGGTACACCAATTTTTGCAGGAAAACTTTTTATTTGACAATAAAGAATGAGAAAACGTCTTTTTTGGCATTCAATCGAAAGTGTTGACAGAAACGAAGAAACTCTTCATACAAGATTTTTAGGTATTTGTGAAACCTACAAAATGAGACCGCACGTAAAAACAGGAGAGAAAACAAATAACATTTACTATATCTTCCGGAATGGTTTGCGGTTCATATCGGCAAGATAAACTAGTAATGATGGCCGGAATACAGGTGTTTTGGGATAAACAAATAGAAATTTTCAAAAACTACTTGACCAATATAATCCAATTTTGTTGTTGTTGTTATTTAGAAGTATGTATCCTACGAATTTGAAGAATTTTAAATATCTGCGAGAAACCATCGTCGCATTACCAACAAGTGCCAAAACCTGCAGTTTGCCTCATTTTTTGGTCATAATTTTTTTGCTGTTAGGCGGATTTTTATACGTGCGGTCTCATTTTGTAGGTCTCATAAATACCTAAAAATCCGGTATGAAGAGTTCGTTCTCGTCGCCACTTTCGATTGAAACCCAAGAAACACGTTTTCTCATTCTTTGTTGTCGAATAAAAAGTTTTCCGACAAAAATCGGTGTACCCATTTTATGCGTCCATGTTTTGAATACACCCTTGAACAATTAGCAGTATGATAAAACCAGACTTTACAATTATTTCTCAAACCAGGGATATTTTCGTCTAATATGATTGGACTTTTATGAATTGTTATCTATGGTATATGGAGTCATAAAATATTCGTGATTATACAGGGTTTGTCCGGAAAGTAGTAGGACTGAGTCGAATTAAAAAAATGTATTGAGCCAGCTGCCAGCGCGATTTCCAAGCATTGAAGGCGTCATAGAAGGCATTCTCCGGAATAGCCTTGAGAGCCGCGGTGCATGCTGCTTGGATCCCCTCTGTCGTCTCAAAATGCTTGCCTTTCATCGGCCTTTTCAGGCGAGGAAACAAAAAAAAGTCCGGGGGGGGGCACATCTGGGCTGTAGGGCGACTGCGGAAGCGTGGGGATGCCGGCCTTGGTCAGGTAGCTGTTCACAAGAAAGGCGGTGTGAGCCGGGGCGTTGTAGTGGTGCAACTTCCATTCGGCTGCGATGTCTTGTCGGACCCGACTGACCCTTCGTTTGAGTCTCCTGAGCACTTCCACGTAAAACTTGGCGTTCATGATGGACGATGCCTTTTATGTCAAAAAAGACAATGAGCTTCGTTTTCACTTTGGATTTGCTCATTCTTCCCTTTTTTGGGCGAGAAGACGCCGTCGTGTGCCACTTTGTCTCGGGATCATACTCAAAGATCCACGACTCGTCACCGGTGATTACGTTATCAAAAAATTGGGGGTCACTTTCACACATGTTCAAATTTTCTTGGCACACTTCCACTCGCCGCAATTTCTGGTCGTCAGTGAGCACTTTTGGAACCATCTTCGCGCACACCTTGCGCATGTTCAAATGCTGTGTCATAATGTCATGAACCACAGATTTTGGTAAATTTAACATCTGGACAATTAAACACCACTTCTTGCTAAAGCAACACCTGGGTAAGCCTGCTTGATCATATCAAACGTCTCTGTCGCAGATTTACCGAGTTTCACACAGAATTTAATCGCGTACCTCTGTTCTAACGGACGCTGCATTTTCGGCTTGCACCACTCACAGAAAATGCCTGTCCTGACTCTCCAAGTGTTCGGAGACAACTGACCAGCCGCTCATTCGTTAGCTAGGAACGCCCTCTACCGAATCCCGTCGGTGCGCGTCCGCTCCGAAGTACAGTCATGGCGGAAGAAAATGAGTCCTATTACTTTCCGGACAAACCCTGTACAGCAAAGTCATACAGTAAAAAAGGTATACAGCATTAATATTGCCACAGTACTGCCATGCAATGTATTGTATTACTGTGTACAAACTATATAGCCCTGTAGCTTTGTTTGCAAACGCTCCTCTTGTGATGATAAGTTCTTATTGAAGCTGAAAAAGGTAGCGATTTTTTTTTTTTGATCTATTGGATGGTTTCAGCAGTAGCAGCAGCGGTGGAGGCAAACCGGTACGGTTCATGGAAAACAAAGAGAACGTGTCCAGGCCGTGCGTGATTCGCGAGGATGAGAGCGACAGCGACTCGAACGACGGGCCGATCGCTTATAGAGACGAAGAGGGTGGTGCGACATCATCGTCAGATGACGGACGGCTCGCGATGAAGATCGCCAGGAAGGAGAGTCTCAATTTAAAGTTGGCCCTCAGGCCGGACAGGCAGGAGCTGATCAACAGGAACATCCTGCAGGTGCAGTCGGACAATGAAAGACAGGAGCAGAAAGAGGCGATCGGCGCCAGGCTGATACGCAGGCTCAGTATGAGACCTACGCAAGAGGAACTCGAAGAAAGAAACATACTCAAAAGTAAATATATATTATTATGTTCGAATCTAAAAAATATATTCGTGCGTGTTTCTTCTTAACATAATTTCCGATTCTTAGCTCTTATTTTGGCCGATAATAATGAAAATTGACAAGCTTATCCATTGAGAAAAGAATAAGGTTTAGTTTCAAGAACGTACATAGACCAAGATGTCTAGAATTTGAGTGAAAAAACTTACAAGCGTAATAAGCTGTCGAATTATATTCTTGAGACTAAACGGAAAGACGCCTCTTTGAGAGATTCGAAAAAATTAGTGGTGGTGTAATTTTTTTTAAAAAAAATCTCATACAAGTACGAAAGTACAAAATGTACAAAAGTTGGTTAACGAAGTGTGGCGAAATTACAAATTACAAACAAAATCCGACAAGGAACTAGATATTATTGTATCTAAGAGAATCGAAGAAGAATTGCAAGCGGCGACTAAGAATAAATCCAATCTACTAAATTTTTTTCTAAGGTGAGTGACGAAATCATTTTAGGACCTATGAGTACTAGAAATATTAGAAATCGCCAAAAAGTTTCTCTTTACTGATTAGAAAATATTATGGCCTATCTCAATGTATAGTGGTAATATTCATTATATTATAGATTTATTTCTTATGATTGATTCCGTCAATTTGTCATAAAGTACAGGATGTTAGTTTTATATATATATATATATATATATATATATATATATATATATAGAAAACTAACACCGTGTATTTTGTGATCGGAACGAATTGCTCGTTTAAACATATTAGATTTAAAACCATAGGGTCTTGTATTTACCATATATATTGCCATACTTTGTATTTATGTAGCTTAATAAGAGAATCTATAGCAGAAGCCGTAGAAAGTTTTTATTTTTAGGCAACCTGTAAACCTGCATAAAAAACACAAATTATACAGTCAGCTTGAAATAAAAAAAAAGACTATCTCTGAGGGATTCAGTGGGACGTCCTAATCTTGAAAGCAATCAACATTCACTATTGAAAACAATCGCGGATATAGCTTTATTTGCGAGTCCAGCAGATGACGAACGTAATCAATTCGCAGCGTAAAAACTCTTGATGAACCCACACAAGAATTACGTAAAATAGGATTTGACATTAGTCGCAGTGGGACATATCTTCGTTTGATTCCCAGAAAATCTAATTCTGCAGAGGGACGAAGACATATATCGACAGTCCCTGTTAAGCTCATTCAGGCTCACTTAGATAGCAAGTTCGCCGAAACATCAATCCATTATTTAGAGAACATAGCATCCATACTTGGACCAGATCAAGTATTTTTCATATCTCAAGATGATAAAGCTCGAGTCCCTGTTGGCGTAACTGCGGCAAATAAGCAAGCACCTCTTCTAATGCACATGGAATATAGAATCAAATTACCTGATCACGATTGGGTAATCGCTGAGCGTCATAAATTTATACAATCTGTTTATGCTGGTATCAAAATCACTTCCAATATGCTAGAACAACCGCAAGCCGTTGGATATTCTGGACCAACATACATCGCTATTCGAAGTGGAAAGCATAGTTCATATACTGCTAATACTAATGCTCAGGATTTCGAGACGCTTCTCGAACTTGAAGAGTTTCTACCATTAGCTAAAACTGACCATGGACTAGTAAAACCAGTGGTAATCATGACGGTTGATGGAGGGCCAGCTGAAAATCAACGTTATCAAAAAGTCATAGGGTTTGCTATACAACACTTTAAGCGACATGATCTCGATGCATTGTTTTTAGCTACCAATGCTCCTGGAAGAAGTGCGTATAACAGAGTATAGCGCAGAATGGCTCCTCTTAGGCGGGAACTGGCTGGTTT